GCTCCACGTGAGCGCTGCAAAGGCAGACGGAGGAAGGAAAGAGCAAGATGGTCCGGGCCAGCGCGTCGGGTGCGGAGCGAAGGTTGCGGAGCGGCTCAGGGCTCCGCGGTGTCCGGAGGGTCCCCGCAGCGCCGCGTTGGTGCGAGCGGCTTCGGCATCGCCGGGAGCTCAGTGCCCCCGGGATGGGATGACGGAGCCCTGGCACAGGCTGCCCAGGGAGGCTGGGCAGGCTCCCTTCTCCGGAGCTCTTCCCAACCCGCCTGGATGCGCCCTGTGCCCCCTGCTCTGGGTGTCCCTGCTGGAGCAGGGGTTGGACTGGGTGATCCCTAGAGGTCCCTTCCAACCCCAACCACTCTGTGAGTCGGTGATGGGCACGTGGCTCGGGAGCGGGATGGATCCATCCTGCTCCTGCTCCCGCTGCCACACCCCGTGCCGCCTTTCCCCTCTGCAATTCCCCATCTCGTAACCCTCCAGCCTCTTAAGATATTGCCCAAAATTGCCATTAATGACCCTGCTGCCGGTCGGAGGCACCGGCCTTTCCCATTGGAGCCAACCAGCCAGTCCTGCTGCCTTTCCAGGCGCACATCCCAGCGTCGGAGCATCCCATCCGGAGCAGCGTCCCGCCGGGAGCAGCCTCGTGCCGGCACCCGCCGCCCTGCCGGGTTATCCCTCTGCTTCGCCCTTCTCTGGACGGCGCGGGGACAAGGGGACAGCGGCGTCCCCGGCCCCCACGGGGGGATGCGCCGCCTGTTTGGCGCTTTACTCGGAGCTAAAGGGGAAAAAAGGAGGGCTAAAAATAGTCCCGAAAACTTCCTGTGCCGCTGCCAGGTGGCCGGGGTGGCCGGTGGCGGCGCCGCCGCTGCCGCCTTCCCGGGAGCGCCCGGGCCCGGCCCTGTCTGGCCGGGATGCGGGAGGCCGAGTGCTTGGGAGGTTCGGGAAGGAGGAGAGCGCGGCGGCTGCTGGAGGAAACGCTGCCCGTGGGGTTGGGCTTTATTAGCCCCTGGAGAATCCAGGAGTGCTTGCTCTGCTGATCCAGGCCCGCGGCCGCTGCCCAGCTCCGGATCCCGTTCCGGGCAGGCAGTGGGAAAAGGCGCCTTTCCCGAGGCCACCGGGCAGCCGTGGATTGCTGACAGCTCTGGCTCCCCATAGGCCTGGGATGGGAATGTGCTCGGAGCTGCTCCCAGCTCATCCCGGCGCTGCTGCTGGGCGCCGGGACCCCAGCTGGGATGGAGAAGGATTTTTGGGATATCCCTGTATGGAAGTCTGTGCTTGGGGATGTAGGACAGGAGACGAGCCTTGGAGTAGGGATGCTCGGAGCTTCCCGCAACGGAGCAGCTGCATCCAGCATCATTCCATGGGGCTGCAGGGCGCATCGCACCCAGGCGGCCGCATCCCCAGCCTTCCCGGGAAAGGAGCTCTCCGGGCTGCAGCAGCGCAGCAGGGAATCCCGGAGAACCCGCGGGCAACCAAGCGGGATGCGGGCGCGGGAGGCGCCGCGATGCCGGCAGCCCGGCGCGCTCCCCGCGGGAAGAGGAAGCCGCCGGGGCTCAGGGTGACCCGGCAGAGCCGCGGGGCCGCGTCGCAGCCGGGGGAGCCCCGGATTTGGGGAAGCGAGGAGGGATCCACTCGAATCCAGGAGGGATCTGTGCGGCACAGGCAAGCGGCACGCGCGGGCAGCGGCGCGCTCGGCTCCTTCCCGCCGTTCCCGTTTTCCGTCCCGACGAGGCTTGGAGGCGCGCGGAGCGGTGCCCTGCCCCGGTGGGGCTTTCCCAAAAAAGGCCTGAACTCTCGGGTGCCTCTGCCACTTCCCTTACCACTCCCTTTCCTGTGAGAGGATGTGTCGCTCGCTTGGCTTTTTGGGGCTTTTCTTCTGTTTTTTTTTTTTCTTTTTTTTTTTTTTTTTTTTTTTTTTTTTTTTTTTTTTTTTTCCTGGCTCCGCGGCGCTGCCCGAGGCCGTCCCGGGCCATGGCCCCCCGCAGCGAGCAGGTAGGGCGCCCCGCTGCAGCGGGTGACGATGCGGGTGACGATGCGGGTGACGATGCGGTCCCGGTTCTGGTGCCGGGGCTTTGCCGGGCGCCTCCCGCAGCTCCGAGCACCGAGCAGGGCGCCCGGAGCTGCTGCTTGGCCCCACGGCCGCTCCGCAAACCCGTGAGGAAGAGGAGGCTGCGAAGGCTGCCGTAGGGCATTTACTCCCCGCGTGCAGGGCTTGTTCCCATGGCGGGCTGGGAAGCGCCGTGTCCCACGGCCGCCCGTCCTGGGAATTGCTGGGGGTCTGTTCTCCCCGCTTGGGAAACGTCCCCTTTTCGGCCGCCTTCCTCTTTTGCAGCCGCCCGCGCCTTCCCTCTCGCCGCCCGCGGCAGCTTCCTGATCCGGTGGCACCACCGGCCTCCCGGCGGCCCAGCCGGGCTCCCGGCCTGCGGCACCGCGGCACCACGGCGGGATGCGGGTGCCGCTGGACACTCGGGCGCGGGATGCAGGATGCTCGGGATGCAGGATGCTCAGGCCATGGGATACAGGATGCTTGGGATGCAGGATGCTTGGGCCATGGGATACAGGATGCTCAGGCAGTGGGATACAGGATACTCGGGATGCAGGATACTCAGGATGCAGGATACTCGGGATGCAGGATGCTCAGGCCATGGGATGCAGGACGCTTGGGGTGCAGGATGCTCAGGCTGTGGCATGCAGGATGCTTGGGATGCAGGATACTTGAGATGCAGGATACTCGGAATGCAGGATGCTCAGGCCATGGGATGCAGGACGCTTGGGGTGCAGGACACTCAGGACACAGGATACTCAGTCCGTGGGATGCGGGATGGTCGGGATGCGGGACGTGTAGGCTGCAGGCTGCTCCAGCACGGGGAGGCTGGCGGAGCAGCCGGGAGCACTGGGACCTCGTGCACTGGACACTCGGGTGCAGGGGGTGTTGCTGGGGCCGCCAGCGCTCGCCCGAGGGCCGCGCGCGGGGCAGGAGCATCCGCCGGCTCCAGGAGGACGGAGCAGCCCCCGGTGCACCGTGGGCCCGGCCCGCGGCTTCCCTCCCCGGCTTCCTTGCACTCATGTGACACCGCGGAGCGGCTCCGACTTCCCCCTGCCCGGCCTGCAAACAGCACGGAGTGACTCAGCCCCGCTTCCCCATCGCAGCGGGGACCACGCAGGGCCCCGCGCTCGGTGTCCGGGGCGCTCCGGCCCTTTGGGGGCAGCTTTCCTTAACGGAGCAGCTTTTCCTTCCATGCAGGGGTTGGGAGCATGTGGGGCTGCAGTGCATCCAGGATTGCATCCCGTGGCAGGGATTGCATCCCATTGAAGGGAATGCATCCCACTGAAGGGATTGCATCCCATTGCGGGCCGCGCTACTGCCGCAACGTAGTGTGGGACCACCAGAGCATCGCCCATCCCAACCTCCCTCCTGCTTTCCCTGTCACCTTGCACCGTTTCCCATCCAGCTCCACAGTGCCAATGAGGAGCTGTTCCTGTTGGGATGTGGCTCCATAGCCAGGTTGGAATGCTGCGTGCAGCTCCACAGCCAGGTCGGGATGTTCCGCACAGCTCCATGGCCAGGCCAGGAAGCTCTGCGCAGCTCCATGGCCAGGTCAGGATGCTCCATGCGGCTCCATGGCTGGGTTCGGATGCTCCATGCAGTTCAGCAGCCAGGTGGGGATGCTCCACATGGCTCCACTCTCAGGCCAGGATGCTCCATGTGGCCATGACCAGGCTGAGATGCTGCGTGTGGCTCCGTGGCCGGATCTGGATGCTCCATGTAGCTCTGCATCCAAGTTGCGATGCTCCACGTGGCTCCACCCCCAGATTGGGATGCTCAATGCGGCTCCATGTCTGGGTCAGGACACTCCATGTGGCTCTGTGTCTGGGTCGAGATGCTCCATGTGGCTCCATGGCCATGCTGGGACACTCTGCACGGTTCCATGTGTGGGTTGGGACGCTCCATGCGGCTCCGTGTCAGTGTCAGGACATTCCATGCGGCTCCGTGTCTGTGTCGGCACGCTCCATGCGGCTCCGTGTTGGTGCTGGGACACCCCATGCGGCTCCGTGTCGGGATGCTCCATGCGTGAGTCGAGTTGCCCCATGCGACTCCACGTGCGGGTCAGGACGCTCCATGTGGCTCCATGTCCATGTCAGGACCCTTCACGTGGCTCCATGTGTGGGTTGAGATGCTCCATGTGACTCCATGTGCAGATCGGGACGCCCCTCGCGGCTCCATGTCGGTGTCGGGACGCTCCATGCG